AAATGAACATTGTAGTATTTAATTATATTGTGGGGGATTTAAATGTAATACTTCCAAAAAAAATGCTTTGTTACTCAGAGCAATTGCATAAAAAAGCATACAAAAAGTAATGTGTACGCACACAGAAGTTAGCGCATCATGCTCTATCGGCACTAATTAAGTTATAGTTATTGAAGCATACTCAAATTTCCAATTAATGCATGTTGGTATATGAAAGAAGATGAACACTTAAAGACAAACACTTTTGAATATATAGTTAATTAAAATTAAGTTTTTAAGAAATTGAAGTATAGAAATTTGACTATAAAAAGTGTAGCATAGTCTTTTCTTTAGTATGTATATCCACTATGTATACAATTTTTTATTTCATGGAAAGTACTAACAAAAAGTATGATGTTTATGATTACTCACCAAAAAACAAAAGTGAAAGGGAAAAATTAGTAATTCTTATAATTTGTTAATTACAGTCTAAATTGTCAAAAGTATAACGCATGACAAGTGAAAGAGGATCCCCTACTGTGCCATTTGCACACAACTTTCCTTTCCAACATTGCAATTTTTTTTTTTTTGGTGAAAACATTACACACTCTTAACATCTCACACGTTATATGCAGCCAGAAAAAATAATATAACTAAATAGACTATATTTTTTTACATAACTTGAATAATAAAATAAATTTTTAAAATATTATACTTATTTTTTCAACACGTAATAAGCTAACTAAAAGAAAAGTATGTCCTTTGGGTTATATATATAAATATATTCTTTAATTTTCAATATATATTTTACAGCGCTTTGTGTGGCTTCGAAAATATTTAAGATCGAACGGTGTAGGTCCACAAGAGTTCCTCACAATTATCAGGTTTTCTTCAAAATAAAGTTGGTTGGAAATTATGGAGATGGGTAAAAATTTTATAAAAATAGAAGAAAAAAAACATTTGTGCTTGTTTTGTATGGAACTTTACTAAAAGATAAGAGAAAACATGGCAGGATTAAAAAAGTTTTAGAAATCTCAGTAAAATATATATAGAAATATGAAATAATAAACAATTGTATAAAGAGGGAGCAATATCTTTTATATTTTCAGGTTATATGAAAATTCCAACAAAACATATAAAAATTTAAAACAAATATACAAATTATTAAAAAAAAAACTCAGATATCTCACCTATTATAAGAAGGATTTAAATACTGAAAGTAGAATATTCTACGGATTTGTAATTTTGCGTCCAGTCAAATTATGTTTTTCAAATTGCTTATATGACATTTGTAAAGATTGTGTACAAAATAGACAAATTCATTGGTGCAGTGGCCGGGGGGATTTAAAACAACTGAAGCATAGTCAGGTTTCTAAGCTTTTGATATGGAGCCAAAAATCTTGTTAAAAGGTAAACTTAAAATAAAATCTGCCTTGTGATATCACCAATGCATCTTGCAAAATAACAATAAAACAAAAAGTACTTTCGCTGTTATTGCAATCATTAAAGTGCAATTAAAATATATTGGCAAAGAAATTAAAGTTGAAGATTTAAAATAGTGGGCCAGTCTCAAATACTTGTAAAAGAATTGTCTTCTAAATTTAATTCTTTGAGCTCTTTGCATTGTAACCAATTGGATGGCAGGGTTCCGGATAATGCATTTTTTTGAAGATGTGGCACTTGTAATTTTGGAAGTCCATGGCATACACTAGAGGGAATACTTCCAGACAAATTACTCCAACTTAAATCAATCTCTTGTAACTCTGAAATATTGAAGATATTTGATGGTATTTGGCCAGAAAGCTTATTTGTATTCAAATATAGAAGTTTTAGATTTTGGAGACGGCCCATCTCTCTTGGAATATCTCCTGAAATATTATTTGATAAAGAAAAGAAAAGAAAACTAAATGAGGTAGAGAATTAAACATGGAGATATGATGTATATAAATACCCATTGCTGTATAAATACAAATATAAAACATAACCACAATGGAAATTCCTTATTAATATATCGCGCAAGAGATTGTCAAAGAACATATGATTAATATATTTATTTTAATTAAAAATATTTAATCATCACAAACATATCATAAATTCGTAGTGTGATAATTAATTAGTAGAGTCATCAGAATTGTTTGTGATGATGCACAAAGAACCCATGTGAAAAGAAGAAAAAAAATTTGGTAGTAACTTCACTTGTGCTGAGCCTCTTTGATAAGTGTACATTTTATAGTTAAATAGGTGCAGATTTTGGCTTATATTTGACTAAATTTACTAATATTCCATAACTATTTAATTAATATTTATATATTTTCTTTTTATATTTTACAGGAAAAATAATAAATTAAATTAAAAAACAAAAATAGATACGGACTGTAGAGGCATCACAATTACATCCGTCCTTTATTCGCAAGAGAAGAACACTATTGGGATGATGAGCATGTTTAATTATATGTAAAATATACATATTTTCTTCTTTTTATATTTTACAGGAAAAATAATAAATTAAATTAAAAAACAAAAATATATACGGACTATAGAGGCATCACAATTACACCCGTCCTTTATTCCCAAGGGAAGAACATTATTGGGATAATGATCATGTTTAATTATATGTAAAATATACATATTTTCTTCTTTTTATATTTTACAGGAAAAATAATAAATTAAATTAAAAAACAACAATATATACGGACTGTAGAGGCATTACAATTACATCCGTCCTTTATTCCCAAGAGAAGAACACTATTGGGATAATGAGCATGTTTATATTGTTGCATTGTGAACGTGTTTCATTATCGCCATGTGCAGGAGAGAAAGAGAGTACTAAATAAGGAATTAAACGAGCAACTATGATATCTTTTATTTGTTGCCATATGTACATATTTCATTTATAATATAAGCCTTTAAATGGTGTTAATATTCCGTGGCAAAAATAATTAGATGTGGCACATCTAGGAAAGGTGTTTCATGGAAAAAATTCCTTAAAAAAGATTCAACGAGCGACTGATTAATTTTTCTTTCTTGAATGAACACGTTAAGTACCATAAAAAGGTTTTCCAAGTAAAATTGTTGCAGATATTTAATGCTCACTAAACTATTATTTGCTTCTCATAAATAGATTGAAGGGATTATCATGAACATGTTGAGTGGAGAAGTTGTTTCAAGCAATGCATTATTGAAACCATTTGAACAATATGACGATAACACAATATGACTTCTTGAGAGCATGGTTATGTTTTCAACGCTTCGTCAATATTGATGTGGCAAGACAAGTTAAAGACATGTCATTAAATATATAATTTTCATATTTGTAAGATGAGTATTTTTTTTTTAAGAGTATCTCCTACAGTATTTCATTCAATATGGCAACAAAATTGGCCTATGTAGGATTGAGGAGACAATATTCCGGATCAATTACCTATAATAATATCATAACTTTTAGCAAATCACAATCAATATAATATATTTGTTTGACACAAAGTATTTAACTTGGATAAATTGATAGTCTTCAAGAATATATACTTATTGCATTATGGTTCAAAAATCCCAAATGAAAGAAACAAATTCTAAGAAAAGCAATGTACTTGTTGTTTATGATAATGCAAAGAAAATAATTAACTGTATTTTGATCAGAAAGCTATTAGCATTTAAGTTAATAATTATCAAAGTTTCAAAATACAAAAGAAAGAAGGATGGATGGTACCAAAATATTATCTGTTAATAGTATACCCGATAAGTTATTGTGACCAAGATCGAATTGTTTTTAATTAAGCAAAATCAAGTTTCCAATGCATCAAGTTATTATATAAAAAATTAATTTAAATCCAAGTATATGAGATGATTTTGTATGGAGAGATGGATTTTGTAATTTTAAAGTTTCATGCAATGTGTTAAAACGATACAATATAACTTTATGAGATGATTGAGGCCAATGCTAAACAACGCATCATTTTTCAAGTTTATAATTTTTTTATTTAATTTCAAAAATCTTCTACTTATAAAATATTTCATGGAATGTGCTTACAAAAATATGATGCTCGAAATTATTATTCACAAAAAACGTGAAAAAGGAAAAAATAGTCATATACTTATAATTTGATGGTTACTGTCCAAATTTTCAAAATAAATGTATAACCCATGACACGTGGAAGTGGATCCCCTCCTACAGTACCAACATGCATTCAACGTTACACTCTTAATATAACATCACAAGCTACATGCAGCCAGGGAAAAAAAAAAACTAGATCATAAAAAACAGTTATTTTTTCTATACAACATACAAGTTGAATACTAAACAAATTTTTTTAATATTATACTTATTTATGTCAACACGTAATTATCTAGCAAAAAGAAAAGAACAGCTTTTTGGGTTATATATATAGTCTTTAATGTTTCAATATATATTTTATTGAGCTTCACATAGATCCAAAGATATTTAAGATTGAACAGTGACAGTCCACACAGGTTATTCAGAGTCATTTTATTTTACTTCACATGATGCATATCATATTGGAAAAATATGTAGCTATATTGATACAGTTTGTCAAAAAAACAAAAAGGAAAAAGTTGTTCTTGTTTTGTGTCAGAACATTACCAAAAGATATAAGAAAATATTGAAGGATTTAAAAAATGTCTAGGAAGCTCAATAAAATATTAGTTTTATTAATTAATGTGCAAATTCATAAAGGCACATCCATTTTGGCTGCAAATCCATTTTCCTCACTATGGATGGAGCTTTGTTTGTTCCAAACAAACAAAATGCTCCACAAGACATCCTAACCAGCATTTCTAAATTTATTGGAAAGGAATTTTTTTTTTGGCCAACCAGAACTGAAGACTTTTTTTTATGTTTAAAGAATTGTTAGAAAAGAAAAGTTCACCCATACACAAATTTATAAAAAAAAAAGAAAAGTAGGAAAAGAAAATGCATGGCTGTTCATAGTAATACTAAGAAAACAACAAAAGAGAGGGGAAAAAACTATAATAGCCAGAATATCATAATTTGATGAAAAAATTACCTTGTAAATTATTATGATCAAGACCTAACTCTTGAAGCATATCCAATTTTCCAATACCTTCTGGTATATCACCTGCCAAAAAAAAAATTAACTCTTAAAGATATTGAATTGGAATTGGTCACAAGTATATCTATTGAGAATATTTCCCACGTATATATGATAAAGACACAAAAAAGATGGCATATTAATTCTACGAGCGTCCATATATGGTTAATCTTTTTTACCAAGTCTAACAACACATGCAAATTATAAGCAACATATTGTGCAGTAATTGTTTGAAAATTTTACATGGTTTTAACGAAACTACAAAAGAAATTCTATAAATCATCTAAAGTGACAAATTCTCTAGCTAGCTAAAAGAGGATTGTAAAAAACATTGGATTATTTTATCTTGACCAAATTAAAAAAAATTATTATCATTTAACAATTAAAAAAATTATTATCATTTAACAATTACAGAATTACCAAACATTAATTTTCTCAGGGAAATTAAATTGAACAAGGAAGCAAACTTTTGCAAAGCTGTTTCCATCAATGCACAAAATGAGCTAACTTTAATAATTTGAATACCCGTAGAGGAGGGCACGAAGTTGGAAAGGCAAATCTTCAAAAAAAAAAAATCAAAAACACGAAAAAAGGTGTTTTGGATATGTGCCACAGACTTACCCATGAAAAGAGTAAATTGTTTTTCGTTTTATGTTTTAAATGGCAAAATAGATTTCATTACCGCCAAAATTTATATCATATAAAGTTTATAAATTTTTCATAGCTAAACAGAAATCATTAATGTTAGAAAGGTATCTAGGAACTTTAGAGGAATTATAGCATTTTGAGAGACTTAATTATCATTTTTATATTTCAATGGGATTTTAATGTCATTTTCCCAAGTTAATATGTTTTATTTTTATATAGTTGTGTTTATAAGTTTTATATTTGCTTTTAAAAAGTTTAGGTGAGTTGGGCCTGGGAGCTCACCAAGGCTAGGACTGGCATCCATTCTCAAAAATTACTTATAGATTAGCCACCAACAATGTAATTATAAGTTTTATTTTATTATACAACATCAATTATCTAATAACATTTCTCCTAAATTATAAAATTAGAAAATTACTTTTAAAAATATCGATAAAAAACTTAAAAATGAAAATTCAAATATATAGCACAGTTTATGTATATACCTATATATTTTCTTAAAAAATCTCTCGCCCACCTTTGATTCTCATTTCAGCCCAAATTCAAAATAACTGAGATGGCTTTATAAATTGATTATCATTAGAATTTTTTTTTTCATGCCATCTATAAAATTCTTGTGAGTGAAAAGCTATCAGTTGGATAAATTGATTACACATTTTGAGATCAATCATCATATGTTTGATTTATTTCAATGGCGGATCCATATATTATGTAGCTTGAACTTGTTCATTTGGTATTTTATACCAAACATTAATTTTTGTTCAAATAAAGCCAAATATATGTCATGCTGCCACTCTAATCATTCTATAAAACCCAATCAGAATTTGATTTTTACCCGCTTATTCCTCTTAATTAAAATTCTAATGATGTTTATAGCCAATAAGAGCAAAATTGATTGTGATTGATAAGTAACAAAATTGGATAAACCAACATTGAATTCAATGTTGGATCCATCCAGGTTTTACTTTCTAGTTACATATTAACATTATGTATTCTTTGTATTTTGTTGGGTCCATTTTTTAAATATTAAAAAATAAGTTATTATTAGTAATTTAGGGATTTTATAAAATAATTATTATGTAAAAATTTTATAAAAAATAGACATTATTTTGTGTTTGATACAATAATAAAAAAGTAATTATTAGTTAGTTATTTTAAATTTTATAATATATTACTTTATTTCTATTTTATAAAAATAAGAGATAAAAGTCATTTTAAATTTTGATTCTCCCTCCCATCACTCATTTTTTTGAAACCCTTTTAGACATATTCTGACATCTATTCTTGCTCATGTTTGTATTATAGGGACTTGTTTAACATATATGTTTTCCCCTTTCATTTTTTTTCTCTTGCAAATGCAGAAGTTTTTTGAATATTTGAACTACTTCCATGGCCAAAGATCTTTATCAGCCAACAATATAACAAAATAAAAGGATTTCTAAGAAATTATATAGCTGATAAATGTAGAAATGCATGGAGAAATATGAAATATTATAAGACAAATAAAATAATTTTAAGATGTGGAGAAGTAATGATACGAGATAAATGGAGATGTAAATCAGAAAAATATTGCAGAAAAAGAAAGAAAAGAAAACTGAAAATAAAATTTAGAAAACATCCAAAAGATAATATTATAAAAAATATAGAAAATACAAACCAAGAAAATTCTTTAAAAGAAAAGGAAAAAGGAGAATAAATTATAATAAAAAACCTAAAAAATATAAATGTTATAATTGTGAAGAATTAGGACATATATCACCTACTGCCCAAGTAAAAAAGACAAGAAAATTATCAAAATAATGGAAAAAACTTATAAAGAAAATTTAGAACCAACAGGATATGATAAAGAATTATCTAAAGTAGAAAATAAATTAACTAAATCAGATACAAAAAATTATTTCATATTTGTTCATGCATTTCTACATTTATCAGCTATATATTTTCTTAAAAATAATTTTCTTCTTCCCATAGTATCAACTTTATTTAATACATTTATTGGTCCATGTCTTAGATCATCTATTATTTCATCTCCTGTTGATGTTATTTGATAGGTATTATAGTAGTCTTCTAATATTGTATCTGATAATAATTTTGATAATTTTCTATAGAATAAATCTAAATAAAATCTTTCTTCTTTTAAATCCCTTAATCTTGCTTTATAATAATATTTTTTGTATTCACATATAGAAGCATTTAAATATTTTGGTTCTAATTAATATAATTCTATTTCATGTAATATTTTTATTGCATCTTTATGTCTGGTTATTTCATTTATATCTTGTGTTATTCCTACAAATTGATTTCTTAGAGCTTTTTGATATTTTTCTATAATCATTGCATAATATTCTTTTCTATTTCCATAAATTTTTTTCTAGTTTTCTGAAATCTTATCTAAATTCTTGTAATTTACTTCTCCATTAATTTTGTACATTTCCTAAAAATGTTGCTTCTATTAACATAGTTACAGTTTGTATATCTACAATTTTTTCTATTCATGCTATTAACGTTGCTTTTCCCCATTCTTCTACTAATTTATTATTATCTAAATTACAATTCAAATCTAGCCATATTCCTGAATTTGATATTTCTTTATTTTCATATTGTGCTAAAAGTGTTGGAAGCCTTAGGAATAAATCCTCATAATAGTATAGAAGAAGAATGGTCACAAGTAAATGCGATGAGAATTGTTGAAGAAAATTATATGACTGAAGAAAAAATAAGAAAATAAGATATGCACGAAAACATAAAACAAACTAGGATAGAAACGGAAAAATTAAGAAAAGGACAAGAAATAATGAACAATAATATATGATTTATGCATGCACAAATAGAAATATTAGATAGAGAAAATGGAACAAATTATGCACAAAGAAAAGAAAAAGAAATAAAATAAAAACTAGAAATAGAAAGAGAAAGAGAATTAAGAGGAGAAAATGAAATAAATAAAGAAGAATTTGAAGAAGCTAATAGAGTTGTAGAAATAATGTTAGAAAATTATAATTATAAACCCAGAAAGAAAATACAACAAAAATCACAACAAATGAGATTAAAAGAATGTGCTAAACATTTAGAACAAAAAGTATATGAACTAAAAAAAGATTGTAATGAACAATTAAAAGAAATAACATATGATACAGAACAATTAAGAAACAAACAAAGTTTAATAAAACATAATATTTATAGAATAATGGAAGCTTTAGGAATAAATCCTCATAATAGCATTGAAGAAGAATGTTCACAAGTAAATATGATGAGAATAGTTACATGACTGAAGAAAAAAACTAAGAAAACAAGATATGCATGAAAATATAAAACAAACTAGGATAGAAACAGAAAAATTAAGAAAAGGACAATAAGTAATGAACAATAATATATGGTTTATACATGCACAAATAGAAATATTCGATAGAGAAAATGGAACAAATTATGCAAAAAGAAATAAAAAAAAGCTAGAAAGAGAAAGAGAATTAAGAGGAGAAAATGAAATAAATGAAGAAGAATTTGAAGCTAATAGAGCTATAGAAATAATGTTAAGAAATTATAATTATAAACCCAGAAAGAAAATACAACAAAAATCACAACAAAATATAAATATAAATATGACTAAAGTAATGGATGAATTAGAAGATGATGAACTAAGTCAATCAAAAGAACTAGAAATGGAATTAAAAAAATTATTGGAAAAAGAAGAAAAAGAAGAAAAAGAAGAGTTAGAAAAATAAAACAAGAATATAAACATTGATAAATAATAATTATGATGAAATTTTTATAAATATGCAAAATTCAGAATTAGTAATTCATGAACAACCCTATAAAATGCCTCAAGACTTTAAACTGCCAAATTTAGATGACCAATCATATAATAATAGAAATGTAGAATCAAGTAGAATATTAGAAGAACCAAAAGATAAAAGAATATTAGAACTAGCGAAACATGAATCATACCATAAAATTGATTTTATAAAACCAAATAAAATAGATTGTAATAATATACCTTTTCATCAACTTTTAACATCGCAAAAAATAATGAATTTACACCAACACCTTTAGCATAATATGAAAATAAACAAATATCAAATTCAAGAATATGGCTAGATTTAGATTGTAATTTAGATAATAATAAAATAATAGAAGAATGGGAAAAAGCAATATTAATAGCATTAATAGGAAAAAATGTAGATATACAAACTGCAACTATGTTAATAGAAGCAACATTTTTAGGAAATGTATAAAATTAGTGGAGAAGTAAATCACAAGAATTTAGAGAAGATTTCAGAAAACCAGAAAAAATTTATGGAAATAGAAAATAATATTATGCAATGATTATAGAAAAATATCAAAAAGCTTTAAGAAATGAATTTGTAGGAATAACACAAGATATAAAGGAAATAACCAAACATAAAGAATTATATTCATTAGAACCAGAATATTTAAATGCTTTTATATATGAATACAAAAAATATTATTATGAAGCAAGATTGGGAGACTTAAAAGAAGAAAGATTTTATTTAGATTTATTCTATAAAAAATTATTAAAATTATTATCAGATATAATATTAGAAGACTACTCTAATACCTATCAAATAACATCAGCAAGAGTTGAAATAATAGATGATCTAAGACATGGACCAATAAATGTATTAAATAAAGTAGATACTATGAGAAGAAGAGAATTATTTTTAAGAAAATATATACCTGATAAATGTAGAAATGCATGGAGAAATATGAAATATTATAAGATAAATAAACAATTTTAAGATGTGGAGAAATAATGATAGGACATAAATGGAGATGTAAACAACAAAAATATGAAAGAAAAAGAAAGAAAAGAAAAATGAAAATAAAATTTAGAAAATATCCAAAAGATAAATATTATAAAAAATATAGAAAATAAAAGCCAAGAAAATTCTTTAAAAGAAAAGGAAAAAGGAGAATAAATTATAATAGAAAACCCAAAAAATGTAAATGTTATAATTGTAGAGAATTAGGAGATATATCACCTAATTGCCCAAGTGAAAAAGACAAGAAAATTATAAAAATAATTGAAGAAGCTTATAAAAAAATTTAGAACTAATAGGATATGATGAAGAATTATCTGAAATAAAAAATGAATTAAGTAAATCAAATGTAGAAATTTACAAATTAAAAATAATAAGTGAAACTAAAATTGAAATAGTAAATCTGAAGAAGAAATGAATTATATATATATGATGAATAAATTAGAAGATGAACCTGAAAGTAGTAACCAAAATGAATATAATGAATATGAAGAAGTTATAGAAGCTGAACAAGGAATATTTCAAAAAAGAATCAAAAACAATATGAGAAAATAAGAGATACTAAATTATATTTAAAACCTTAAGAATTAAAAAAATGAAAGTTATATGAACAAAGTAGGAAAGCTTGTTAAATCTAAAAGCCAAGAAAAATATGCATGTGTAGTATTGGAAAAGAAACACTTTATAGAATCAACATTAATAGAAGGAGTATTCAGAATACCTTTAATAAGTAAAGCCTTAATAGGTGCAAAAATTAGTAAATTACCATTTAAAGATGATGTAATAGAAATATATATTGTAGGAGTATAATTATTAGTAAAAGCTTATTTTCAAGAAGGAAGAAATTCACTAATAGAATTATTAATAATTAATGAAAGAATAACAAGTAGTGTTGAAAACACTATTTTAGGAATATTAACTAGAAATTTAATATATCAAAAATTAAAATTTGCAATAAAAACTAACTTTTATAATTCAAGAGTTGATAAAAATATGAATAAAATTTTGTTAATATATCATAAATTAGGAGGAATAAAATTATCACCAAGATCAAAAACTATAAGTATAATAGCAATGATAGGATTAGTATTTACAAACGAACATAAAATTTATAAAAGAAATAAAAAAAGTTAACAATTGATAAACATTTTATGTTAGTATTACAAGAAATTGAATTAGACCTAACTAGAATAACAAAGCTTGAACAATTAAGATTAGAATTGGATAATACTATAGGATATTATGAAAATGAAAATAATTCAAGAAGGTTATTAACTAATAATAATATTGGACAAAGATCATTAAGAATTAGTACCCCAACATTAAATATTAATATAAATCAACCTGCAAGAAGAAGTTTAAGTCTATTATTTGTAATTTAAGGATTTTATAAAATAATTATTATGTAAAACTTTTATAAAAAGTATACATTATTTTATGTTTGATACAATAATAAAAAATTAATTATTAGTTAGTTATTTTTAAATTTTATAATATATTTCTTTATTTCTATTTTATAAAATTAATTTATTATTTTATTATTTGAAATCTTAGTATATCTTCCTGCATCTTGCAATTTTAAAACATTCTCTCTCAAAGTAGTTACTTAAAATAATAAAAAATTTATTTTTTTATTTTATTTATTTTCAAAAATTTAAACAAACATAGTTAAAGTCACAAAATAATATTTTAAAAAACTTAATTTTTTTTCAAAAAATAAGCTGAAACAAACGAGAACTTTATCTCTCAAAATTTTTATAATTGACTAAGCAAAAACAACCAAAAAGAGTAGATAGTTTGGATATGTAAAAATGTGATATACTTTAAAATATTTAATTTAAATACTTAACCAAAAGTTTCATTATAAAACATGATATACTTTAAAATATTTAACCTAAATATATTATACATTGAAATTTATGGGGGTTACAGTAAGTAGAACCTTTTAAAACAAGGTAAGACTACAATTGTGACGATAGAATTATCAACAAAATTTCAAAATTTATAAACTAACTTTTTATATAATTATGTGTGCGTATCAATATAACAAAATAAAAAGTACAATACTACGAGTGTTCGTATATATGTTTAAAAGTTGCATCTATGAATGATAGATTTGGTGATGGGCTTATGCTTCTATTACCTAATGTACAGTGTCATTTTTGTATGTATTTGAAGAGATATTAGCGTGGGAATTTTTTTTTTTAAAGCAACGGGCCAATATTTAGTTAAAATTATTTGTATTTAATTTTTAAATTAAATTTAAATTACAAATTTGCATTTAAATCCCAAGAAATTTTTATAAAATTTTAAAAATTAAAACTTACAAAAATACTCATCTTTTTTAATAAAATACCCTTCCTTCATTAAAATTGGATTTAGTAATTATGTTTGATTTTTAAGTTCATTGAAGTCCTTTTAAATTAAAAATCAAGCATATTGTTGCTAGTTCTAATAAGATGGGTGTCTTCACCATAACCTCCTTTGTCTCACCTACTAGTTAAAATTATTTGGCTGATCTCTCTTATGTTGTTGCTGATTCTGTTTTTGCTTTGCCGCTTTCTATGTCTTGTTGCTTTGTTGTCGTTTCCAGTTTTAGTTGTACTGTACTAGTTTATTTGCCTTAGGAATATATCAGCAGTTGGGGAAAAAAGAAAGTCCTTTGAAATTTAATGAAAGTTTCCTTACAAGAGACCTAACCGAAATTATCCCCTTTTATATTTGAAATCCTTGTAACAGGTTGAGTTCTCAGTGACATCATAAAATAGGGAGAATGATATTAAAGTCCCACACAAGGGAATTAATTACTGCAAGGTCCATTGATAACTGAACTAAATTGCATTGATAGTACTTTAGTTCAATCGTCAATGGACCTTGTAGTAATTAATTCCTTATGTGGGACCTAATTGTAATTCTCCCTATAAAATATTACAAATTATGTATAAAAATATAATCCAATTTTTGTTTTATGAGAAAAAAAAGTTTATTCTAGACTTACACATTTTGTGACATATAATTAATGGAATTTTAACGAAACCTATTAGCATCTAAGTTGGTAATTTCAAGTTGCAAGAGACAAGAAGTAAGAAGAAAGAAATATTCTATATTGAATTATAATTTGCACAAAAATTATACCTTGTAAATTATTGGAACTAAGATCTAATTTCTGAAGCGAAACCAAACTTCCAATGCTTCTAGGTATGAAGCCAATGAGTTGATTATGAGCCAAGTACATAATTTTAATATTTGTAAGATTGGCAATTTCATTTGGAATGTCTCCTACATTATCACAATAACAAATAAAAACACTGATATGAGTGCTTGTGTATATATTATAGAAAATCATAGAAATACAATACAACCTTATGGAGATGATCATGGGCAACAAATGTTGTATAAAAAGTCATATAGATTTAAAAACCATTCAAAAGTATCTCTTGCATTATGGCTTCAAGAATCCAAATGAAAAGGACAAAAACTAATAAAAGCATGCAAAATATTTGTTCCTGGTACTGCAAAGAATACTAAATGATGTTAACACACTATGTTGTGTTGAAAGCATAATGATGGAGTGACCAATATCACATCAAATTAAAATTATATGTAATTTGTAGATTCATTTATTGCCCCCTACTCAACATAATCAATATATATATCCCATTCCCCTCTCCAACAAAATCAATGTTGAATAAGATATTGTAAATGGCTTATTCTAAGATATTCTAACACATAAATTTTTTTAAAATGATTAGTGAAAATATATGAATTTATCTGCTATTATTAACGACACACCTATTAAGGAGTTGTATGACATCAATTCAAGTAAGGATAAGCCAAAAATAACTGGAGGTATTTTTCCTCAAATATCACTCCTTGCTAAACATTGAAGCCTTCCAATCTCAAGTGGAATAGATCCATGGATAGAATTAAAATTCCAATCCAAGGTCTCTAATTTTGACATATTTGATACCAATAGCAACTGATGATGACATAACCACAAGAAAAGTCGTGATTTTCTAAACAGATTGGGCTATCCAATTCCGCCTATTGTTTTAGGCACTAGCTCTTGGTTCAGTCTTCTACAAACTTTGAAACCAAACACTCAAAGACAGGGACATCTCTAGGAGTTTTAGGGCCTAAGGGAAAATTATTTTAGAGGTCTAATGTATTATTATTTTACCGTTTCGAATTCTATAAAATTCAAAACAATCATAAATAAAGGGTAAAAGAGAAACAAACATACCTAATATATATGGCCATCTATGATTGGATTTCTTTATTCTCTTAATAGAAGTGCAAAACTCCTTTGAACAAATAAAAGGATTTGTGGACTTCATAATGACAAATGAAAAATCAATTTATCAATCAAGCCGTGCCCATGGAAATGGCTGAGCATGAGCTATAGTTTTTCTTTTTTAATAAGAAAATAATGGTAGAGCAAGAAGTGATTTGGTTGACAGAAAAGAACAGATGAAATGACAAGGTGGTTGTGGCAGAGTATATGCAGCCATAAATTTTTAATGAAGAGATATAATTAACTATTGGTTATCTAAGATAAAAGTAAGTAATAAATTCTTAATGAAAATATATAATTAACATTAATGCTTAATAATAAATAGAAGGCCCAATTATATAGGATATAAGTGAACATTTTTTTGGCCTAAGACGATAGCCATAATGGACTAGTGTTACACGCGGCCCTGCTGATAGAACCGATGAAATACTAGGAAAGTGATAATATTGCAAACGAATTCTTTTATTATAGATGACGTGGTTAACTATTAAGCATTACGAAGGAAAAAAATCATTAACCAAATTTCAAAGTCTCTTTCTCTTTCTTGTGCATTTGCCCAACACCTTAAATATAAATAAATAAATTTTGGCACTGTGTGTAGCTGTATATGTTTACCTCTGTTTTTAGCTCTTAAAATAGAGATAAATAGAATCATAATTCATTATTTGCATTAGGGACTGATTCTTAGAATTTGGTAAAACTATAGCGATTAAAGTTTTATATTTCTTCAATTTTTTACTTCTTATTTACAATTTAAGTGAAACAATTGAAGTGTAAACTTTATATTTTAATATTGATGCACTCCATATGAACATTATCACTCAAATGAATATGTTTCAACTCTAATATTACATATAATTAATAGTATTTTCACTAGAAAACTATTAGCATTTAAGCTTATGATTATTAAATTTCAAAAGACAAAACAACAACACAAAGGAAACGAAAATTTGACAATACCGAATTGCAATTTAAAGCAACAGTAGTCTAGGGATACCTTATAAATTTTTGTGAACAAGATCAAATTTTTAAAGAAAAATCAAATTCACAATGCATCTTAATTAGCATATATCCTTGAAAAGTAACAGTAGTCTAGGGATTATCAAACATTTATTTTCTTAAGGGAAGTCAATTTAAATAAATTGTGCTAATTTTGATAATTCGAATACCCATATAGGAGAACATGGAACTGAAAATGCAAATCTCCACAAAATCAATAACAATATTTATATGTTCATCTCTATTTTTAACAAAAAATAGAGGTAAACGGAGTAATATTTCTGAACAATATTAGACAAATATAGTTGACGGATGGACCACGTGACCAATAATAACATGCAAAAATAACACAAAATTGATGAAAAGTTATACATTATATTGGTTGAAAGCATACCTTCTAAGTTATTGTCATGAAGATATAATTCCTGAAGCATAGCCAAGTTTCCAATGCTTCTTGGTATTTGGCCAGACAAATTGTTAGTCCCTGGGTATATAATTTTCATGTTTGTGAGAGCACCAATTGTTTTGGGAATATCTCCTACAATATGACAATAAGAAAACCACATTATTATGAGTTCTCCTATACAAAATGATTGTTATAAAAGCTTAAAAAAAAAATAACAACGATAATTTTACGAATGCATTCTTTTAAAGTTGTTGTGATCAAAATATTATCACTCTTGACTTTGTATTTAGAAAATAGGAAAATGATAAAGCTCTTAAACCAAACAAAGTTTTTTTATGTGTAGCGACTAATTTGAACCCTTTTTAATAATTAATCAGTAGAGTTACCAGAATTATGTGTGATTATGTATAATAAAAAATATGTGGTAGTACACTTCCCACTTGTGCTGAAGCTCTTCGATAAATTTGATATATTAAACATCATCAAACAATTGTTTTTATTATATTTTTACTTGCAGACCTAATAACAAGTTAATCATATAAGTCCCACGTTAAATGAACACAAACTAAAGAGTTAATCCCAAACAAAAAGATTATACAGAAATAAAGTTTAATTTTACACACAAGACTAATATATAATGGTAGCATTTAATCATATTAAAATTAAATTTGGTAAAACTATAGGACTTTATTTTTTAACCTTCATAAAATTATAAGACTTGAAGTTTTATATTTTTCATTTGAAATTCTCATTTATAATTCTAAGCGAACAATTGAAATGAACACTTTATAATTTAATATTCATATAGATATTTGATAAATGGGCATTTTACATATATTTATGTATGATTTTTTCTCATATTTTGGCTTATTAATGTGTGAATTAAAGATAAAATTAGATAAAATGCCTCACTTGGAGATTTTAGTATATTTCCAGGAAAAGGAAACAAAATAGCATGAACAAGGGTTTAAAACGTAAAACCCAAACTCAAAGACCAAGAAATCAAGCCAAAAAGACACCTCTGATTGTGGACCAAAAATTTCATTAGCATAAATAGATAAATTTTGGAACTGTACTTTTTTTTTGGCATGCTGGAACTATACATATTTATTATGGTGTATAAATGATTGGATAAAATTAAAAAAGTGCATCATTATGTCGCGTGTTGCATGCGTTGTTTTCAGCAAAGGCAAGGGAGAGTGATATGGTTAGAATTAATGGTATGGGTGAAGGGTATACTACTAAGTTTAAATTGCCATGATTCACCTTTGAGAATCTTTGCTAAATTACTTTCAACAGAGTGTAAAAAAATGAAACTAAAGTGTGTATTTTGAAAAGGATGGATTGGCTTCATTAATATTAAGAAAATTAAAGATAAATGAATATATTTTATTCTTCTCTTTGAAGCCAGTACAAACCTCCAACTTTTTGAAAGGAATACCTTGTTCATGCTATTATGAAAGGTATACTGCTAAGTTTAAATTGCCATGATTGTTTGAAATGACTCGGAGAAAATATAAATTTATCTGATATTATGAAAGGCATACCTTTTTAAGGAGTTCCTTGACAAAGACATCAGCTCAAGTGATGATAAGCCAGAAATAGTTATTAGTATATTTTCTGAAAGATTGTTCCCTGCTATACGTAAAATCTTTAAATGTTGAAGCCTTCCAATCTCAGGTGGAATTGATCCATGGATGAAATTGTGATTCCAATCCAAGGTCTCTAATTTTGACAAATTCGATACAATTGGAGGAATAACATCTCAAAAACTATTATCTCGAAGGATCAAATTTGGAGAATTTTCATTATAGCTAAGGTTGAGAATTTTCAACTTGTGTAACTGTAGCAACTCCTTCGGTGACTCACCATGAAAATTGTTATTATGAAGATCAAGTTCAACAAGGGAAGACAAATTCCTCACTTGTGAGGGTAAGGTGCCGATGAGATTCATGGTAGCAAGGTTCAATATATTTACTCTCTCATTGTTAGCATCACAAGTAATCCCAACCCAATTGCAAATGGAGGAAGGGTTGGACCAATTAGACAAGTGATTGAATGGATCTCTCACAGGAAACTTGAAAGCAAGAAGTGCTAATTCATCATATTTGGTGAAATTGGCGTGACTACATAAAGTTGGGGAGACCATGAGACAGCAAAGCAGTGAGAACATGGAGAAGGAAAACCAAAACCAAAGGTTGGCCATATTGGATTGCTCTAAGGCTTAAAAGATTGAAAATGGACGGTGAAAAAGGTCATGCTATATATATTTGCGCTTGATTTGAGATGGATAAGCGTGCACCACTCATCAACGTTAATAAAAGCCGAATAAATTGTGAACCAAATAAAAAGTGCACTATTCAAATTCTTGCTAAGATACTTAAATTTCATCTTTCATGAAATAAAGAAGTCTAGAAAATTAGAGCCACGAGATTTTTTGCCACCTAGCTAATTCTCTTAAAAAACGTTTATTCTCAAATATCTTTATTTAAAAAAATTGTAATATTTTTATAATCTTTGATTATTTGAGTACAAATGAAGAAGCAGCTTGACAAATATATTTTATTCACTTAAATGGTTGAGACTTTGAGATTGTAATTGATACGTTTTATTGACATTCAATTGATTTTATATCTTATCTTTTCATATTTGATTGCATGATCAAATGAAGAATTTTATATTATAAAATTCTACTAATGATCTCACATTGAAATTAGGAAAAAATGACCCCAAAAAAAATCTCTCTTAAAACATGAAAATGAAAATGAGGTCCCTTGAAATGTTATAATTCTTTTCAATCCCTAAAGACCTTTCTGACATTAATAATTTTTTGGTGAAATGGCTAAAATACCCCCAATTTAAAATAAAAAAGTAACAGATCTGGTCCGAATAAAGTAAATATCAGTGCTTTGTTTGGTTTAAGCAATCACTACTTTTGTTGTGGAAATGAATAGAATGAAACAAACAATTACAACTTCCCATGTACAAATTTTTGATTTGCTAAGTCCAAATTAAATGTTGTAAATATCCATATCTATTTTTTCATTAAAAAAAATGCATAACTATTTTAATTTAAACAATGATTACTTTTCCTCTGGCAATGACTTCAATGAATAAACTGGGGCTATTTTAAATTATAGAATTATCGTTCAGTGTGAACAAACAACTCAGTAATTGTTAAGGAAAAAAACGTGAAATAGCATCTATTTTACTCCTTTGTTAAAACGCAACCATATACGTGAGTTCTTTAATGGAAATTATATGGACCGTTCAAATTCTACCAAAGACTATTATCATGCCACTGTATTAACGCCATGGTATTTTACCCTCTAATGATTGTGTTTCGTAGGATTAACATGTGGTAATTGGAATTGGAAAATTATTTGTTACTTTGATGTTGTTTTCTTAAAATAACACTTATTTTACTCAATTCATAAATCAAAGGTTAAGTATTGAATAGGGAAAAAATAATGCACCAACTATTCAAATTTGAACAAAGAATCCACATTATCGTGTCATATTTTTCCAGTGATGTGGTGGGTATTTGAGTTGACTTAGCTTGATCAAGAAAAATATATAGACAAATAAAAAAGTTGTCACAATCCATATGACTTGTTTTTTTCTTGAGAAGAGACAAGATATTATCTACATTAATTGGACCTCAATATGCTGAATACTATTCATATTCCATCAACTCTTCATTATTGGATTTGTGCCATTTTAATAGGCATATGGATTAACTGACTTAAAAAAATTCACCCCATCAATGAGTTGTGAAAATAGTTAACAAAATCTTATTGATAGAACACAATAATTTTGCTATTAACGAAATAACTTTAATATGCATAACACACTTATCTTCAAGCTATATATAAAAATTGTATTCAATAGAAGACATCTATAATTCATTTTTTTTAACCAACAATCTATAATTCATTTTTCAATCAACTATAGTTTATTTGCAAGAGAAATAAATGGGAGGATGACATTAAAGGATCAAAAGATTGAACTAAAGTTAAATCTAAAGACTAATATATTTGGAAACCCAAAATAAAGACAAAAGATTCTTCAGTGCATTAGTCTATAAAAGAATTTCATTAGTCTGCAATCAACTAAAAAAGAATTTCAAAGTGAAATTTAATAATTCATGAAGGAAAAAATTTGTCAAAATTATCTTCATTTCCAATTATTTGCTGATCATTAATTTGTTATGGAAAACTATTTCTAGGTAATGATTTTCACTAGTTTTTCTTTTACAAATTTAAAAATGTTTAAATTTCTTTAAAATATTATAATTTATTATTCCTCCTTTTTTTGCCTTATTTCATTTTTTACTCTTTCTACAAATAACTTGGGTAATCTAACTTCAACAAATTTCATGATTTCAGGTAAAAAAGTTACATACATGGTGTGTTTTCTTTAAAACAGAGAGAAATAGCTTTCTTCTTTTATAAACTCCGTCATGATCCATGGTACTCTCAAATTTTAAGGAAAACTATGTTTTATAACCATGTTTTGTATTGAACTTTACTAAAAGGTACCAGAAAAGATTAAAGGATTGAAAAAATATTAGAATACTCAGTAAAATATATATATATATATATATATAGAAATATGAAAGAATAAAAAAGTGTATAAAGACTTGTGGAGCAATATCTTCTACATTTTCAAATTATATGAAAATCCCAATAAAATATATAAAGATTTTAAAAAAATATAAAAATTATAAAAAAAAATCTCAGATATCTCACCTATTATATAATAGGATTTAAATACTGAAAGTAGAATATTATATAGATTTGTAATTTAGTATCTAGTCATATTATGTTTTTCAAACTGCTTTTGTACCGTGACATTTGTAGAGATTGTGAAAATCATATGATTCCTGAAGAAACCATAAGAAACCATATGGGTGTGATTCATTTCCAATTATTTTCTGATCATTAATTTGTGAAGGAAAACTGTTTCCAAGTAATGATTTTCATAGTTTTTCTTTTACAAATTAAAAAAATCTTTGCAATTTTTTGTTTTGAAGGTTGCAAATTATGGAATAAAAGTAGCAAATTTTTAGACAAATTTATTAAAGAATATTTGGTCCTCATTTTATATTTTTTAATTTTTTAATTATTATATAAATTTACTTTAGTCTTTTAGTCCTTTGAAATAATTCTTTCAAAAGAATTAATATACTCATAGTATAAATTGGATTTTTTTGTTTAATTCTAAGATCGCTCTCAAGAAAAACTCCATTAGAATATTTTTACTGATGTGGCCATAAAGTTCCATGTGGATTACTTGAACTCCACATAAACCTAAAGGCTATCTCCTAAGTCCTAACAAATGCTCACTGCCACTAAAAGAAAGAAAGAAATAATAGAAATTAAAATGCAGACGATGGAACACTAGGGCTCGCTGCAAAAAGCAATGAAGAAGAAGACAATTATAAGAGATGTCCTATTATAATTGAGTTAATCTGCTTCATGCATATCACCCACAACTTAATGCAGTTACAGACCTAAATATCATTCCATTATATAGGCTCAAAATAAATGTATCTTTAAAATTACCAAATGAGAGAAAGAAATAATGAGAAAAATGATATCCTTAGACAATTTTAATTTCCACAAATGTAATTAAATTAGTTAATCATTATATAATCTTAATATAGTTTATTTGACATTCGTATTATATGCTTACTTATATATACATATATAATCTTAGACAATTTTTTTATGCTTATTAGAAGATGAATATCATGGTACTCACCGTCCCTCATAAGATCTAGATAGTCCCAAATTTAAGCTTTTTAATTTTAGTTTGTATTTATTAAAATAAAAATATGTAAAAAAATATAGAAATCTTTAATAAATATATTTATCACCAATCTGGCTAGTAAAGATTTAATTTTGATGACCAAATTTAATATTAATTTTTTAATAATTTTTACAAATTGACCATTCAAATGTTCTCTAGATAGTATAGATACAATTTGAAAGATCTAGTTTAATATTAAAAATCTATAACTTTAGCTAATTGACAATCTAAATATACTTTAGACAGTTCATATTTAATATTATAATTTTTTATCATTTTTATTTTGACAAATATAATATAAAAATATTTAAAAAATAATTTAAATCAACAGGATAAATCATTTCAGAATAAATGAAGGGCCCAGATCACCTTATAGGAGTGATAAGCATGGTGCCTATCAATACTGATGAGCACCAAATACAGTTCCCTTGTCTACAGGCTTCCATAGCCCTGCTATAGAAAGAGACAAGGATGTGGTGTGGGATGGAAATCATGCCTAATACACATGGAGCAATCTCAGCTTTTGGTTTTTAACTCTACCCATGCCCTCCAAGAGACTTAGCGACACACAAATTCCAACATTTTGGATTCTGACAACCATTTTCTCCTCCTTCGGTATGTATCTTCCCAATCCCAATTCTCTCCCCATTTCCAATAAGTTATATGAAAAATTGAATCATTGGTCCCAATGTTCTGGCTAGTTTTAATAAGTCTTAATAGTTTACATTTTTAGAAACAACTCCCTGAAGTTTGTAAGGTTAAATCCTTTAATCCTTTGTCTTCTGTTTGGATGGGAAGAGTAGTAGTGGAAGGAAAGAAAAGGAGAGAAGAAAAATTAGAAAGAAGAGGGAAAAAAGGTTATTGCTACGTGTATTTGGATAAATAGGGGAAAATAGAAAGAAAATAAAATAAGAAAATATCATAATAACTAAAATATACCCTTCTATCAATATATCATGTTGTATATAATTACCTTTATAAAAATAAAGTGAAGACAAAACTTTATTAAAATTAGAATAATCAATATAATTAATTTAAAATTAAACTATTTGGTCCAAGAACTAAACAGACACTTGCACAATGTTTGGTAGGTAGAAAAATGTTTTATAGCTAGAAATGAAAAGGAAAATGCATAGTAATGACTTCTGTAAGCTTTTTGAACTTGAAGGTATGCTCATTCTGATGAGCTCCCAAGAACCACCTCACATAAACTTTTGTCTAAAAAAAGAAAGAAAGAAATGCACTTATTAGATTTTCTTTCTAGGTACATTTCTCGTTTTCAATCTAGACTACATTTTTTATTTTTCTATGCACCAAACATGTCATTAAGATACCAGAGTTCTTGTGCAAATAACTAAAAGGAAAAAATGCACATTAATCCTAGTTTCATTT